AAATGATGAGAAAAAAATAATTTAATTGCTTGAGTTTACAATCAATCCTCAGGCTAGAGGCAGAACCCCTAATATATGTACATTCAGTTCTTATGCTGAGATAACATTTCCATCAACAATAAGCATTGAGATACCACTTTATTAGAATAAAGGCAAACAATATGTGTCTGGGCAATGCTAAAATAGCAATCTAGTGTAACTAGATTAACAGTAACCTAATAGTAACTCCTCTCTTGCTTCATGATTGCCATATACACTCAGTTCTGCACAAGAGCTTGAGAGCAGGGGAGAGCTGTTGCCCCAAAGGGAAATTTGTTAAAAATCCAAAAGTAAACTCAGTGGGAAAATTGAGGCAGATAAAAGGAAATTCACTACCAAATCTGTTCAGAAGGGGAAACCTAGAAAGTTTGGAGTTTAAGCACCCAGTAACAAAACGCGAAGTGCTTCAGGTACTTTGGAAGGTGGAGCGACCAGATGTTACACACCTGGCTCATCTGCAGCCACCGTCAGACCGTTCCTTCTGCACTCTCTTAGTACTTTCTCCTGGCTGGTTTTATGCACTTAAAGGAAGGAAATGTTCTTGTTTGGAGGCTTTAATGCATTTTAACAGACCTCACATTTAGGAAGTTTTCCCTGATGTTTTCTGCTGCTGTTTCTTCTGCCACACCACAGATTTTCTGGCACCCTTAAAATTCCCTTTGCAAGGTGATGGTTAAAAAACAAAATTACTGTCAAAATAGTTAGGGGGGAAAAAAAAAACAAACCAGCCTTTTACATCAGAAGCCTTCCTAATGCCAACTTATTAAAGCCTGCTATTAGTTGGTAGTTCCTCCTCATTAGTCTCAATCAAACCTTATTCAGAACCAGCTCCCCCTGTGCCACCTCCTTCCCATCCCTTGTAAATGAGGATGGGCTCACATTGTAAATTGCGAGTTTAACTACAGCTCCATTTCATTGCTACCAACTGCAGGATAAGGACCCATTTCTCAGAAGTTATAGTCAGCAATATTAGTCCCTGGGTATGGTATTACCACATCTGGGATGATTTAGGGACAATGAAATCCCTGTGCCATCAAGCTAGGTGATTCTCCTGACACAAATGATCCTGCAACTCAGTGTGCTCACTGAAATTTAGTCCATTTTCCTTTCTAGTTCCTTCTTGTACCCACTCATGGCAGGGCTTGGTGGATGGGAGGAGTAGTACCGTCACTTTTCCCAAATATAATTGAGCTCTGAAGGCAAGACGAAAACTGCTGCAGTAGGAAATGACCCTGAAACTCAGAGCTGTTAATCCAAGGGCGTTGCACTGGTAGGAGCAGGGGAGCAGTTTCTGGGGGAATCCCCCCAACACCATCCAGTTCACTTGTTCTCAAGTCTTTTTAGCTCAATCCATTTTCACTTGAAAGTAAAACCAGAGCTGGGGTAAAGGTGGTTCTGTAGAATTACAGTAAGTGATCCACTGGCCTGCAAATAGCTCACATTAACTTCTACTCAGTTTTACCTGTCACTTTGGACACTGCTTTTGGGGATTCCAGAGACCTTGCTCTGTCACTTTTCAGTAATCTAAATGCTTTTAAGACCACCTCTGCAAAAATCCGAAGCATTAGGAAAATAAGAACCACCCACCGGCTCTGCTGGAAGCCTGCCAAAGGTTTCAGCGCCGTTAAGAACTCAGCCCCTCTTTGCAATCTTACCTATCGAGGGGCAAACAAATAATAACAGCAGTTCGGGTCTACTTCCCAGACAATTTGTGCTGAAATTAATAAACTGAGAAGCAATGTAGTGGTGTAGCCACTAATTTTACATGGATTTAAACCATGCTGGTACACAACTGCTTCAAGCCCTGACAAGGAACCCTGAACCTACTCAATAGCCCGTCTATTGCCAGCGGTGACTTTCTCGATCCTGGATGCGGTTGCTTCCCTTCGCATACAAGCAGCTGCAACTTCGAGCATATTGCATCAGCCTTCTGGTTCACTTTACATCTCCTGTGCGCGTCAAGTTTTTCTGCAAGAGAACGGACAAAATGAAGATGGGAAAGGTACTGGACAGCAAAACAAGACAAACAATCATCTAGGTCAACAGTGAGTGTTCAGAAATGGGGTAATTAGCAGAAAGACTAGCAGAAAGGAAAAAAGTATTCATGTTTTATTTTAAGTACGGGACACATCCAATGTAGGCAGCACTGCCCAACAGCCTGGCACACCTTTCCAGACACACTGTAACCACCCAAAAGGAAGCGATTCAGCTGTCCAAACATTACACCGGCATCCCGGCTTGCTTACCCTTCCAAAATATTGTTGCTGGTCCTCAAGGTATTGCAGAACACTGGGCAAAAATCAGGATGTTGTCTTCCACGACAGAGACAAATTCCTAGATAGGATACTTGAGGAAAGCCCAGGAACGCGACCCAGCTCTGTCACTACTATTTGTCTCTACATCCACTGCTTGTATTTTTATCTAAAATTAGGGCAATCCATGGTCTTTCCTAATCACCACTTGCAACCAGTTGTTGTGCATTCTCAGGTGTGGGGTTCTTTAATGCTCAAATCCCCAGCTTGATTTAATACAGGATGTTCTCCGTCTTTTAACTTGTAAAATAATTGCACGTGACGGCACAGCACCAGTACCCTCCCAGAGATCACTGGGTAGTTTTTCACGTTAGCTTTGTTTCCATCAAACACTGGTGGCCTCCACTTTTTGTGAGCTCAAACAAATAGGATAAAACACACACACCAGTGCAAAGCCCACCCGACAGGCCAGCTTTTTCATTTGCCCGGCAGCATAAATCACATTCCCAGATGATACCGAGGCAATTCTCCATGCAAAATGATTATGATTTAACAGAAAAACTTATTTTTAGCTTAAGGCGTTCTGGCAGCTGGAGATGCAGATTTGTGGCTACTCCAACCACTAAACACGCAGGAATTGCAGCGCAGCATTGCATCTCTTTAGCTTTTAATTTACAGAACTAATTAGTTGGATTTACTGTCTTTAGAATCCCTTACCCTCTATTTGCTTAAGGAGAAATAGATGAGCCCTGCGTGTCAAGTCAAGCCCAATAAGCCAGTAACTCCAGCACAAGAGAAGGACCGGTGGGAGACAGATGCAGCGAGAGGTTCAAAATCACAAATCATAGAACAATTCAGGATGGAAAAGACCCTTGGGATCATCAAGTCCAACCTTGCAGCAACAAATATATGTCACTTGGGATGTAGAGAAGACAGATCCGTCACCTAGGCACTGCGTAGAGGGGTAAAAACTTCTCTTGCACCTTTTACACAGATGGAGGAGAGGGGATGTTCTGATCAGCGAGGAGATTCCAGACCAGGATAAAGGAAAACACAAGAGCTCTGAAGCAAAAGCACCAACACTTTCCAAAGCATATTTATGGTGTCACTATGAATGTGTGAGGCAAAGACCAAGGCAGTCAAGTTGGTACATCCGAGATGTCACGAGCTTTGGTAAGATGACTGGTCAGCAGTAGGAGAGCACGGCTGAGTAACCACAGAGAAACTCAGGTGGCAGTTGCCACATTTTGTCACTCAGCTGGAGAAAACGTCCTGTGGACACCAAGGCGCAGTTTAGACTTCGAAGCATTGAAAAGCAAGTTAGTAAGTTGAAGCAACCCTGCAATTACGCTTTATTAGCAGCACTTTAATGACTAGGGGGTGAAGAGGCACAAAGATATTCGCAGAGAACACCAGAGCAAGCCAGCGAGCAACCCATCCAACACGTGGTTCACGTGGAGCTGCTCCTTCTCTTTGTAGAGACAACATAAAGCTCCACAAGAGCAAGGTAGGCTATTGCAATTTAAACCACTTAATTAATTATTTTAACATAATGGTAATTACATTATCGGTGAAACGCCGATTTCGCCGCCCAGAGCGCGCTTACGGCATCATCCAGGTTGCAACTGCGTTGCCAGGCACACCTCTCTGTGACTTGGGAATTCGGAGGCGTTGGGAAATCCAGGCTCAAAGGTGCCGTCAGCCCTCTCCCTTCCCACAGCAGAGCCAACCAGAGCGACACCACGGCCCCCAACAGCCTTTTCCTTCTAAACCCTTGACCGAAGGAGACATTTCACACGTTAGGTGGTTTGGCTCTGCTCTGTAGTGTAACAGCAACTATAAAAACGGTGCCTTTTTAATCAACAAATCTCGTTTCCTGCTTTGTCACTACCACAGCGAAGTCTGTATTTGATTAGCAAAAGCAACGATATTCCAGTTTACGTGCAAAAACTGAACACATAATCAGTTTGTATTACAGAGCCAGTTCTGGTTTCACTACCAAGAAAAGCTTACCAAAATTTACTTTTCTCTGCAGCAACTGCAAGGTTGGTGTGTTCTGTCCTCCCTTGTGTATTGTAGAGCTTTTTAGATTAACAAAGAAATCACGTACGCACCCCGTGTTGGCCTCCTAGTAAGCCAAGAACTTCAAAACATCCCAAAGCCATCTAGCTTAAGGGAACCTCACTTTTCATTTATGAATTAAGGCTGAATTAATTATCCAAATTAAGATTAGCAAAACGCTGCCCAAATGCATAATTGCGCACAGCAAGTATTCTTCTGACATTAACCACCTCAGAGATGAAATAAACCCAAGAAATTAGAAAGGCATTAAGAACAGTCCAAGCCAAACCGTATCCAGCTTTATTAAAGTTACTTTTCATAAACAATCATGGTAATTTAGGCAGGACATGGGCTACAATCTGCAACATTTTACAACAACCGTCGAACTCCCCCTCCCTTCATGGATTACCGAAACGTAAAAGTTGCTCTAAAACCGAAGATCTTCATTTCATACTTGCAGATGGAAAAGTTTAGAGTGAGGGTGGACACTTTTCACATTTAGCATGTTGTTTAACAACTCTTCACAAACCTACCCTGACTTTTAGAGGAGGGGAAAAAAAAAAAAATATCCCAACGAATGTTTCTTAATCTGAAGATCCACAATATAAAAGATGAAGTGCAGCTCCTTTGACAGCCATGATATCCCACAAATTGGACACCCAAAGTCCAGATCGCCCGACAACGCATTCAGAGTGCTAAGTCCCAAAATGCCGGTTTTGCCGTATTACGGAGTGACAGGCTCTAGGAAAACCGGGAGGAGGCGGAAGGAAATGGAGAGGGCATTACGAACGGCAGTTTTGAAGTCGGCAAAAGGCACCTTGGGAAACTCGATGTTCGCTTGGATGCACTTCACAGAACTGAACTGGTGTGCGGCACGAAGGAATCCTTTCCTCTGCAGTTCAGGAAGGGCCCTTCTCTTCCAAAAACTGGGGCACCGGGAAAACTTTTCTCATTAAAATTTAGGTACCAAGAAATAGAGTAAGTGACATTTGTCCCCACCGCCCCCCCTCCCCCCCAACACAACAACGAAGCGGTCTGTGTGCTAACAACATAGCTTAAAAAAAAGTAAACCAAAATTCTGCATTGTTATAAAACTTGATAAAAAATAGTATTTCAAACTGTACAGTCACCAGAAGTACACAGTTATCAAAAATTCACACATTTTTACTTGGCATCACCAGCACCTTCGGCTTTCTGTGCCTAGAAGACAAAAGGGGAACCGGTCAATACACACCACGCACTTAACAACAACTTGGAACTCTTGAGTAGCAGTTCTCCAAATAGGACAAAATCTCCTTTGGGCTGCACCACCGTAATTTTAAACAAATATTTGAAGCACCGCTAAAGACAACGTGAAGTTGCTTTATTACACGCAAACTTCACACACTTTCAGAACAAAGCAGAACTGTAACTTTCAACTCCAACTGGCTGACAGACACCTCTTTACCAGCCAAGAAACACCTGATTTGTAGACATGTTCTGAGTATCATAAGCCACAGGTCAAAATAATCAAGCGATAATTCCTCTTCCTTAGTGCAAGCCTAGACTCGTCTACATTTGATATGGGAAAAAATAACTCTCTGATGTTAAGCCAAGTGTCAGACCCACTGCTGTACCTGGTCTGTTTTGGCATCTCCGTTTTCTGCAGGGTTGTTTCCCTCCTTGCCAGCATCACCTTTCCCCTTCTTTCCCTTGGGCAACTTCTCGCTCTTCTGCAAATGGAAGATGAGGCACACCATTACAACTACCAACATCCCGTCATTGAGCCACAAGAATTAAAAAACTAGAATAGTAAGAACCAACGTTGGATGTCGGCCCAAAAAGAAGGCAGCACACAAATGTTTGCATGTTTAAGAGACTGCCAGCAACGGCGAAGAGTCTTCACGTCAAGGTTTTTTTAAGCAAATCTTGTAAAATTCATATGGCTTTGGTGCAACATTACAGAAGCGATGACGCAGCTCAATTTCATCACTACATACGCTGCTGTCCACAGTTTTCTTAGTTATTACTGGGCAAATCTAAACCTCACCACCCGTTTACCTCTCGGTAACAATGCTGACACGACTCACCTTTGGAGCTGCCTTTTTGGGTTTAGGCTCTGGCTTCGGAGGAGCAGGCTTCTGTTAACCAAGAAGAAAAACCTGTGTTAATCGAACTATTTTAAGAGACTACTTTTTCAAAACGCTCAACCCAAATAGTTTTGTTTTGGGAAAACAAATCAACACTTTTGAAACTAAAGCACTTACTTGATTTGGCAATTATTCTACCACTCCCATCGCACCACGCAACGGGCCAGTTCGTTAAGCCAGGAACTCTCCTTCAATTGAACAGTGCGTCTCTCCAGAACACCCACAGCTCTCACACAGATGCAGTACCTCATGCTCCAGCCTAAAACTACCGAGTGTTGTGACATCTCCGCTCAACAACAGAATACTCACAGCAGATAACCTCGCCGATCTCCGTTGTGGCTGTTTAAAAACAAAAACGACTGCTGTTAGCGGGATGGAGTATGAACTGTCAAAAGCTCATAAACTAACTCTTGTTTCAAAACAGTAAAATCCCAGAAGCATAGGCTTTTAGTTACTTTCTTCCCTGTTCTCAAGAAATGTGAGACTATCCCATTTAAGTCAGTAATAACTTACGATAGTCAAGAAGATTTTTCAGGGTTTAAAGACAGTTAACAGTTTGAAAAGTCAGAATCAATTAAGACAAGCTCTTCCTGTCTTGCCCAGCTCTTTACTTTCCCAAAGTTAAACCTCATCTTCCACTGAAAACACTTCACAACCCAACTTTCTCAAAATATTGAACTTCTTACCTCATCCTTAACTTTGGCCTTATCGCCCTTGGTATCTCCTTCAGCCTAGGACGCGTAACACAAGTCAGACCGACAAGTTCAGCAGAAGCACGCTCGGCCCCCCCACCCGCACCCCTTCTTGTTCTTAACGCCCCCTTCGCCAAGGAAACCTTTCCAACTCGCTGCTGGAAGGGG